GTGCACCCCTGGACCTCAACCGCAAGGATCCGATCGCAGTGTGCACCGCTGGACCTCAACCAGATAGTTTGCCAAACAAAATCCACAAACACACACAATCACAAACACACAACTACAAACACAACTACAAAGACACAATCACAAACACATAACCACAAACACAAAACCACAAACACACAACCACAACCACACAACCACAAACGCACAATCACAAACACAATCACAAACACAATCACAAACACGCAACTACAAACACAATCACAAACACACAACTACAAACACAACTACAAAGACACAATCACAAACACACAACCACAAACATACACACAACACACAACCACAAACACACTCTGACATTGGTTTTCAGTTACACTCAGTTCCCACGTTGAGAAGGAAGGCGATGGAACGGCATGGTGAAAGGTCCAAAGACTTGAAGGTGTTTTAACATTGAAGTTTCTCGTCTGCAGTGGTGCGACGACGACGCGCGCGAGCGGCGAGGAAAAGGGTTTAGGGGAAGTAGCATGAACCACCATGGAAACAAACAAAGAAAGAGTGGAGTGACAGCTTGTACAACAGTTCGGCAGGTACGTTTGCAGCCCCCCCCCCGTGGCCTCTTCGTTGGCCATCCGCCACTGGGGAGGGGGATGGCCCCCTGCCTTGTTAAGTGGTGGTAATGGAAACGGTGGCATTGGACCCTTTGGTACAGGGGGTGACACACACACAAACACACAACCACAAACACACAACCACAAACACACAAACACACAACCACAAACATACAACCACAAACACATCCACAAACACAACCACAAACACACAACCACAACCACAAGTACAAACACATAATCACAAAGACACAACCACAACTACAAACACATAATCACAACCACTACCACTACCACAAACACAACTACAAACACATAATCACAACCACTACCACTACCACAAACACAAATACAAACACATAATCACAACCACTACCACTACCACAAACACAACCACAAACACATCCACAAACACACAACCACAAACACAACTACAAACACACAATCACAAAGACACAACCACAACCACAACTACAAACACACAATCACAAAGACACAACCGCAACCACAACCACAACTACAAGCACACAATCACAACCACTACCACAAACACAACCACAACACAGCACGCAACCACAGCACACAACCCGAGGACCCACAAGCAACATCGAGAACTACAATACTCACGACTATGGCAACATGCTCCTCACTATGGCATCAAGACAAATTATTGAAATGTCATGGTGGGGATCACTCGAAGTAAAGTAATTTATTGTTTTTTGTTTTAAACTTTTTGTTGATTTTGAAAACAGGCTCTCTCCAATGAAAGATTTTTATAACACTAGCGCATGTGCACCCTTCCCCACTGGCGCGGAGCCGCGCAATTGCGCTTTCTCAAGGCCACGCAAAACGCATAACACAGCAGCATCACCTTTCGAAATCTAGTTGTTACACGTTGTTACTGTGATGAAAAGTTTAAGTGTACAAGTTAAGAACATCGAAAAATCATGTTTGTTCTATTAAAGGGATGGGTAAAGGACCAAGGTTTACGTAACATTTACCTAGGCAACTTTTCGGCTTCCATCTTTGCGGGTCCCCGATGTTGGGGACCCCCTTTTCGCATTTGAATGTTGGCATGTATGCTCCTGCGACATGAACTAACTAGAAAATGATTCAAACTGATGTCCAAAAAAAAAACATACAAGTTAGGGTTCATGGAAATCTATCAGCTATATAGAAGCTATGCAGCCGACACTGACAAGCCCCCAAACCCCTTGTGCGGTGCGGAACATAGCAATGTTTTCCCAACTCAATCCCGTGACTGCAACCCTGGATGCCCTAGAGTTGTAAAATTATTTCATATGGTAAGACCAGAATCCTTGATTTAACAAAAACAAAAAAGTCAAATGGAAATGGAAAAGTCAAAGTCAAAAAAACAAACTGAAAAGTCAAAAAGTCAAAAACAAAAGGCACATAAAAGTCAAAACAAGTCAACCATAGACCACAGCTCGAAAAAAACAATATCACGCAACAAAATCAAAAAAGTTGAAAACAAAAAACACAGTCAACAAAAGTGGACAAATGGTTAAAACAAATCAAGCGCAAAAAACATATCAAAAAAGTCAAAAAAAAACAAAAACACAAAAAATAAATAAGTCGAAAAACATGTCAAAAAAAGTCAAGAAAAAGTCGAAAAACAAGTCAAAAAAAGTTGGACCTGGGCAAAACAACTTTTGTTTTGACTTTATGACACTTTCTGATTTGACTGTTCTTTGACTTTGACTTTTGGGATTGACAGGCTCTCTCCAATGAAAGATGTTTATAACCCTAGAGGATCCTAGAGGACAAATCAAAATCAACTACCAATGGTCTGGCAGTTCCAAGTCACGTAAAGTGGAAGCAGCAGCAATTGCCGGCTGGTGACCTTGACAATCGAGGCGGAAGCAAGATTGGTCGGTCGGCGAAAGAAGGGTTGATACGAACCAGGGTGGAATTCCCTTTGATTTCCAAGCTCTCAACCTTCCAATTCAGGGCACCGGAACACTCTTGATTTGAGATCTTGAGTCAGTATTATGTGATGTTGAGAAAGCACTTCCGATGGACCAAGAGCTTCGAAGTGTTCTGGCATCAGGCCGCAAACTATGCTAGAAGCTCAATGTGTTGTAAATCCAACTCCGCACTGCCACGCGCTGCGTGTCGTTTTTCCAGATCAGCAACTGCTGAGATGGAAGGAAACTGGAGCATTCAAGAATGCTACGCGAACCTACCCATCGAGCTACAATGCATTGCCAATCCACACATGACGCAGTTGATCATGATTTAGGGTAGCTTTACTATCAGTTCGCTGCAACATATTCATAGAGACTTGAAAAGGCAAATGCGGCAAATAAGCCTGGATCAAGGCTTTGAAATCCGCGCAGGCAAACACTGCGTTGATAAAACCTTCAAAGTAAGGCGACCTCTTTACTTCCGTTCTTTCCAGTTCCCAAGACTCTAAGACAATCTAAAATGTCTGAGTTGACACTATTGCAAATAGACACATTGCAACAGTCATACTTGAAAGAGGCTAACAACGAGAGAAAGGAAATTAAGGGAAGCCTTGGACACTGGGAGACTCCGCAAAGGTACTTTTAGCACCAGCGAAATCTCCTCGAAACCGCCTGCTTCGACAGTCAAGTTATCTTCAGTAATGGACCTGAAGCGGGACAAAGACTTGCAGAGAAGCATTTCATGCTCTTCTGCAAGTAGAACTGAGCGCTTTTGTGGCAAGAGTTGGCATGACCCTCCCCCAAACCTGCCACTCGTTTCGCAGTCCTTCATCTAGACTATGTGACTATCGGCATCGTCATTCAATGTGATCCAAATCAAAGTGATGTGTTCTGCTCCTAAAACCTTTATGCTCAACACCCATAGAACAACGGAGTCCTCATTCATTGTTTTGATACCCACAGCCCTGATTGCTGGTGGGTGCTCCTGAAAAGTGACACCATCTCACCGTAGCCGCAAAAGCTGTCCCTTTCAAAAAGCCTGTATATTCACACTTATGCAGTCACATGGCGGCCGAAATTGGCGCTCATGTCCAGCTTCGGTTCGCCTGGTCAAAGTCACCGAGTGAAACTTGGGCACACTTTGGGCAAGTCTTAATTGCACATCAGGTATATCAGGTTTGGGGGGCATGTCCTGATTCTCAGGTTTTGTTTCCATGTGAGGGTGGTGATTTATTATCCTTCAACAACAAGAAGCAAAAGCAGTCCAAGTGGAAGCGACCAAATCTGGGAGTTGTCCTACGTCCTGTCCACTACGAAAGCTGTTCTTTAATACTACAGAAAAACTCGGAAATTCAAGCTCTGGCTTTCGTGGATAAGAGTCGGCTTCATTCGGATCCCTCCCACATTCTCCCACATTCTTCAAAGGTGTTTTCCTATTCATGTTGCTGATTAGCTGATCACATTGCTACCGTGCGGACCCTTCTCCACCGGAGTGTGCACCCATTGCACCCACGCTGATTCCGCCCAAACAAATGTAACTCCCCGTGACGGATCACAACGGGTTGTTCCATCCTGAAACCGGGACGGATCTCAAAAGGATGGACGCAAGTCTTCGTCACACTCGGTTGTTCATTCATAGTACATACTCAAACATACGACATAGTACAGCACTGATCCTAATCTATTATAATTTGTTCTTTCACAATAAACGCAAACAAGCACTTAGAGGGTCTACGATCTAGTCACACATTGATTGATGGTTTCGCTGTCTGTTTGGGTTTTGAGCAGCTGCGAACCTCTAGAATACTGAGCCACTTGTCAACCCATCAGAAGGGAATGTTCTTGAGCTGCCAACCCTTGCATGGTTGAAAGGATTCTTGCAAAAGCTTTTCGACTGTATCGGCCTATCTCGTCATTGGCTAGTCAGAAGGCTGCTACAACTGAAACTGAACCGATGATTGCATGAGCCTCGTCCATGAAAAGAGTTCGGACGCCGGAGGTTGGGCTTTCGCGCTCCTGAGATGCAAATGTTCTGCACCGGGTTTGCACAAACCATTGGAGATACCGGCCCTCGGGGGTAGCATTGCTGGAGCCAAATCCTCTGCCATCTGCATATGTCGTCTTCACATGTCCAGGAGTCAAAGCCTTTGGATGCTGGCTTGATAAACAGTAACAGACCCACCAGGGGTGCCTCTCAAAGGTTTGGCCCATACCCGTTGGAAGGAACAACGGGCCCTGAGACCTAGCACCCCAGCAGCTTCTTGCAGCTCTGAAACTGTTGGGCTGAAGGCGCTGGAAGAGTGTCAAAGCTTCGCTGGGGTTCTGCTCTTTTAAAACCTCAACTGCGGATGCGGAAGGTCCAAAAAAGACTTCTCGCTGCTACAATATGTCTCGGAAGAGAACCAAATGGAGGTACAAGTTGAGACAAGCAGGGACACCATGGCACAAATATTCAGCTTTGATCTCAACTAGCCGGGAAGACAAAACTTATCGAAACTGAATTATCGTTCCGAGAGAAGTGCTGCCTCTGTCTTGTCCCTTGTCCCAATCCCAGCCAAGCTGTTCCGGGAACAAATAGAATTCAAAGCAGTGTTGTGGTTTTCCTGGTGTACGGTGTTCACCATAGATGCACACTAGCTAAAGCTAGCGATGCAGGGCCAATGCAGGGATTCATGGATAATCTGATGGGCTCAGGGTTTTTGAGTTCAAACCTATACCGTTCTAAACATGCTCATGAACTTTAATACGGGGGACACCAACTTCTAACATCTTCTCACTATGTGTTCAGCGGTGAAAACCTTTCTGAAGTTTTGACCCTGGTTTGTTGGCCTCTGGCAATTGTTGCAGGTCGACGGGTGAGACACAATGGCGCGCGGTTCATCGGCCTGCCCCGAACTCGCCTCCGTGGACACTAAGTAGCAAAAGAGTGAGACAAGCAGTGCAGCAGAAAACATTGTTTAACTTTTGACGTTGTTTTATTTGCTTAGCGTAGAAGAATCCAAGGCCATGGCCTCCAACCTACTAGTGATGGCCTCCAACCTAATAGAGATGCTGAAAACTCCTCATGGTTCAGCCTACATGGAGCTTGGAAGCTTGCCTGTGTGACTGGCAAGGCCTGATCCCAACCATCTTACAGTATGGTTTTCTGCCGTGCTGCCATGGCCCAGCCTAGCGTTGCTTTACCTTGGCAAGTCCAGGCGGGCAAACCAGGAAAGTTGAGAGCTGGGCGCTCGTCAATCAATGTTGGAAGTTGTTCGACTTTGGTTTTCACCAACAAAAGTGCCCCTATTCCAACCCTCTTGAGCTCCAAAAAACGGCTGAACCTGTCGCGAGCTTGTCTGCAAGTCAGCTGGAAAGCTGCACGGAAGCTCCAGGGGTCAACCATCGTCTCGTTTGAAATCGGTCAAGAAGCGTGTCTCCGGGTGCTCCGAACCAAAGTGCTTTGTAAGGCGGCTTACTGTCAACCTGCATCTTGCGTTCAGATGTTTGACTCTTTGACATGCCAAAAACTCCTCAAGAAGACGTGCCTACTTAAACCACCATGCACGTTGGCCTGAGGCCCACTGGATGGTGTCCCAACAAAGCAAAAACATACACAAACACTCATAATGACTCGTAACCGTTTGAACTGCAACATATCCGTGCGTGCTGAAGCCGGAGAGGCCGGCTGAAACACACAAGAAGAGTGCAGACTGACTGTAGACTGTTTGTGGAAAGACTGGTGATCCTATATATATACATACAGTCGAAGTAAAAATTGACTATGAGTTGATGCCGCTCGTTTCACCTCATCCTAAGCAAAACCATGGGTCAACATTTCAAGTGCAACAAACAAGTCAGTCAGTGTGGCTCAAGGGCAACTCCCACTTCCTCTCGCACAGCTGCAACGAGAGCTGTCCTGAAGATATTCTCGCTTTCTGTAAGCTTCCTCAAGGTTGCAGCTCTTCAGCTTTTGACATGTCACATCACTTAGCTGAAAATAGCTCAGACGCAATTTGATGTGTGGCCCTATAATATTCCTTACAATCAAACATGTGAATTTGCACAATGATACACATCTTAACAAAACTGGACCAAATAATGAATCGCTTCGGGTCTAGTCTCTTCAAGTCGTCTCTGCATCACCACCTTCGGCAAAATGCTGCGAAAGAGTATATAGTAGCGTCCGATCGCTCCTAGTAGCGATGCCCTTTGTTACTGGTAGCTTCTTGTTACTAGTAGTAAGGCCAGGAGCCCCTAGCAGCGTCCTTGCTCCTAGTGCCAAGAGTCTGTTGTTGGTGAAGCACTCCTCCAAGTTTATTCATACAGGATAAGCTCAGCATATCGTCATTGCCTCAAAGCTCGTTGGCTGCCAGTCTACAAGACAAGAAGTACGACTTTCTCTCGATGCAATAATGTTGCACTTCGGAACATAAGTTCTACGATCTCCCTAGATTCCTAGATTTGCATCCATCAAGAAGGGCTGCTGCGAACCTTACACATGTTGTCTAGCGCAAACGTGGTCTCATGGTTTCGGTGGGATAGTATATCTCAAACACAATATGTATGTTTCTTCTGCACACAAAAAAGCTTGCCAAGAATGGTCTGCTGAAACTCTTCAGACATATCACAATCTGTCCAGTGCCCCCACACATAGAGCATCCAACAAAGCAAGGGTTCCAATTCTTGACAACACCAACCGGAACGATGTTATTCAGAAGCAGCCGGATACGTGAACCAGAGCACGCACATACATTGGATGGACAATTTAGCTGACAAAGCCATCGATCACACACATGTCACGTCTATCTGCGTCTCCGCCTGACTCACCTTTCTCGTAAAGTGAATCGATAGGGCCAATAGGCCAATAGGGATGGATGGGCGCTTCCAAGGTGCCAAATTGCTGAACAAGGCCCTGCAGAACTTGGCGGTACAGTTGTTCTGCTTCTTCCAGCTTGCCCTGGACATTTGAGAGACGGTTGGGCCCCGCAGGCTGGGCGGCTGGTCTTGCAACTGGTTTGGGCTTTGCCACACATCGTTACGCTTTCTCACACACTCACACACTCATCGTTGCTGCACACAAAACACAGGATCTCACCGTTGGCAATGAAAGCACAGGATCCGTTGCTCTGTCTGCCTGGTCTTTCAAATTTGATGCATGATGTCCAACCTGGCGGAATCGGATCTGCATCACGCAATTCGGAAGAGAAATCAGTGCTATGTCATGCAAAGGACTTGTTCTTTTTCAGACTATAAAACACCGTGACATAAATTTAGCGAGGCTGGAAGACTCAATTGTGTTTACAAAGTAAGATAGATGTGAAAGAGTCGGTGTTTACACTTTAAGTTAGAGCAAATCGGTGTGGGTACCGTTGTGAATCAAAGTTTCACACTCCAGTGCAAGCAAGTCGCTGCACTTAGAGTTTGGAGGCTGTTCTCACCATAGGCGGAAGTCAGGACCACGGTGAGCTTCTCAAAGAGATGATCGGCTTCCTCTGGCTTGCCTCATTGCATTCTTGAACCCAACGAGAAACAATGTCCTTCTGAATGACGTCCCTTTTGCACTCAAAGGTGGCGAAGGTGAGACGTGTTGCACCAATTATAGTCATTAATTAGAAAGAAGAACATACAGAGTCATTTTGTGTCTTTAACTTACTTCTGATTTCATTTTTTTTTCTCGTAAATATTGGTAATTCTGCTCATCTTTCGAAGGTGCCAAGATGTGGCAACATCACGCGTCCCACCCACCTGCATCTCGGAGAACTGCTGCCAAGCCTTCCATGGCCTCAAGGCTGGATGATGCTCAACTCAGGAGGGATCACACATGAACAAACACGCACACACACAAATACATTTATGTCGGGCGCGCCAGCCATAGATACAAGGAGCCAAAATAATTTCATGAAGCCAAAAGAAAGCAAGAAAAGCAACAGGTAAAGCAAACAAAAAAGCAAAAACATGTAGCTGTGCGTGTTTGTCGCTGTGTTCACCTTTTTTTTTCGCTTTATTTTCGACTTTGTTCGTTTTGTTTTTTCCGCTTTTTCCTAGGAGCGTACAGCAAATATTGCTGACGGGTAAAAGTTCTCATAAGTGCAGAAGTGGTAAAAAAAA